AAAAAAAAAGGCCCGAAGCAGACAGGACGGCTATGTATGTATAGCTATACCTATGCAGCTAGGTCAGGTAGGTAGGAGGGCAGGCATGCAAAAGAAGCAAAGCTGAACGAGTGTGGTGGGCCCCAGCAGCTCCGCCAGGACGGGCATGTGGGAAGCCCCAAAAACTAGGCAAAAGGGAGTAAAGGAGGGGATGCAGGAAGAAATGAGGAATGAGGGTGAAGGGAAAGTTCAGCAGAAGGAGAAGGGACACGAGTGAGCGGCTAGGTGGCCATTGGAGGTACCCATGAGCAAGAGGAGGAGAAAGAATGGGGAGGGTGAGGGGAGACGAGGCGGGTATGCAGGCCGGGCAGGTATAATAAAGATAAAAAGACGCACACGAAGCAAGCTACAAAGGGATGGGATGGCTGCAGGCAGATCGGCAGGCAAGTGAGGGAGATGCAGTGGGTGGGGCGCTGGGGATAATGGCTGTGTCAAGGACAGAAGGGAAGAGATTGGAATAACCTTTTGCTGGAGAAAGCTGGAGGTGGCGGCCAGCTCGGGGTACCTTCGCGGAAGGAGAAAACGGCGGCGATGGAAGCAGGCGGGGTGTGCAAACTCTCGTCCTCGTTGGACCAACCATTTCCCACCTCAGAGTGACTGTGCTCCTATATGCAATACCATGCTCGCCCCATCCGATCCAGACGGCTTGAAAGACTGGCTGGTGAGACGGTTCCAGTGCAGGAGCCTTTGGGGGGGAAACAAGAAGAGGGTGGGAGGGACCGCTCTGGTGCTGCTTCTGGGCAGGAGATGGTGGTGGTTGGACCGGGATCCTTGAAGACGCGGTAGAGATCGGGAAGAGGAGCTTATTTGGATTTGGAGAGGTATGGAGGCAGGTCAAATAGGTACCTAGATGGACAGGGGAGGGAGGCGACGCAGGCCGAAGCGGGAAAGATGGAAAATAGGGAAAAAAGGGAAATAAAATAGAGGAAAAAATAATAAAAAAGAGGATATGGGATGTAAACGGTCTCCGGGCCTGTCATTTTACCCACACACTCCCGCTCGCTCTATTTCTCGCCTTTTCTGCTGTCACCCGCTTAGTCTTTTTTGTTTTGATGTCCTCTTGCATGGCTGTCTGTTTTCTTCTTCTCTTTCTCCTTCAGGTTTCCATGACTGAAATGATACCCTTTCTGCTTTTCCCCGGTTGCTTGTTTGCCAGAAGAAATACCCCCCTTCTTTTTTTTCACGCTTTCTTTATTACTCCTCTCGGATATTTCGCCGGCGGCCCTTCCAGCCAGAAAAGAGGCAACACGGGGGTTCCCTTTTTGGGCTTCAAGCAAGACAAAGTAAATCAAATGACTGGGGAGGGCGAACAAACTAGTGTGGAGAACATGTGTGCCTTGTTATTTCAAGCGCGTTTTAGAAACGAGATTCCAGGGTTGGGAAGCAGCTCCGAAGGAGTTCGTCAGGCCTCTGCCGACAGGGACTGGCAGGCCACCAGGGTGTCCAGCGCGCCCCGCCCCTGGGAAGCAAGAGTCAAGCCACACCCAGTCCAGGTCCAGCCCAGCCCCTAGGCGCGGAGGAAGCCGCGGCGGCTCGCTGCTGGCGGGCGTCGGCGGAGAGGGGGGGTGGGTAAGGAGGAAAGGGCAAGGGAAGGGAGAGAAGGGGACAGCAAATTGGGGGATGTGGCCCGAGGCCGGGGCGCGGAAGACGGTGCGAGCACGAGGATGATGACGAACCTGGGTTGGCATGCCGGTCTGGGAGGGGAGGGAAGAAAAAAAAGAAAAAAAAAAGGGAAGAAAAAAAGAGCTGTGTGGGCTGTGGCGCTATCAAAGGCGGAAGGAACGGGGGTCGAAAAGGCTCGCGCTTTCCTTCCATGACACCGTTTGGCGGGCTGCTGCGGGGACGCTAGGGTGTGTGCCGAACGGATTGACGCACGTCTTCTGGGACTGTGCTGTGTTTGGGATGTCTGCGGGAAGGTACCATCTGGCATGGCACGAACCTTTTGGCTGGACGCACGAGAAAAGCAAAAAGAAAAAACACATCGCAAAGCAATTCGCAATCCTTAAATTGAAATATTAAATTAACAATGCGAAAATCCCTTCTAGGCAAGGCATCGTTGGGAGCTCCAAAAACGTGGTCTGCTCGGATCGGGAAGGGGGACGAGAAATAGCCGCGGCTGGGCGAGGCAGCATGGGCGTGGGCATCTGGCCTGGACCATCCGATGAGGCCCTAGCAATGCAAGGAGAATGGACGGAAAGCTACGGCTCCTGTGTCTTGAGCTGGGGTGGGCTTCTGTGATGGATGCTGGCTGGCCTGAGCTCTGGACGTTATTTCAACGACTCGGGACGAGGACAGGGCACGGAGCTGGGACGGGACGGACGAGCCAGAAACAGGCTCTTCCCCCTACCCAGGAGCAGCCCGCCCCGAAATCATGGCATCCAGCCTGTTTCCCGCCACGCCATCCACCCAAGAGAGGTCCCTGCCACCTACACGTAGGTGCTTAGCCTCCATTGTTCGCCGCCTCCTGCTCACCACCCTTAATTCCCGCCGAAAAGGGTGGACGACGTCGACAGTAACGGGGAGGAAGCAGGCAAGAGTTCAAAAAAGAAACGAAACAGAAAGAAAACATGCAAAAAGACCGGTTGTGGGATAATGTCATGTTCCTGGGCAGCTGGCTGGGCAACTTCCTGCCAACTTGAGACAGGCTACAAGACGGACGGGTGGTGGGGGTGTTGGAATGGGCTTGTGCGTTTTGTGCTGGCGCGTCCTTTTTTTTTTTTGTTCTTCCTTTTTTTTCGCCCTCTTTTTCGTCCTGTTCCTCTTTTGGCTTATGCCTGAACTGGGCAAGCGACGTGCATGCCCTGTCCGATGGGGTGTGGGTGCCTCTGCCTCTGCTGGATGCAGGCCGAAACGTTGGCAACGAGAGGGAGGGAAGAGGAGGCTGCAGCCTGAGGGCGGGTTGTTGACAAGGGGGGGGTACAGGTAAGGCGGATGCCAGGCTAGGCCGTCCCACGTTAGCTAGGGACTTTTTTTTTTCTCTGGCTCTCTTCATCCTTGCGCCTTTTCTGTCCCGCTAAGGTTAGCCTCTCCTGCCGGAGGTGCCGCCTGGCAGGCGCCCACCCCGACCGCACGTTCATTCCATGTGCAGTCGACCCTGCTAGTGGCTCGGTCGAGGATGCGGACATCGACTAATAAACAGGCCGGGGCCAACATTTCGGCCTCGGAGGCGCAGGCGATAACGCCCCCGCTGCCACGCTGGCCCATCCCCATGGAGCTGCGGCCCGGATTCGCTTGCGTGGAAATCTTGGTTTTGTCGTGGGAAAGGCAACCTCGCGGAAACGCTTCCGCAGGGGAGAAAAAAAGGGCCCTGCAACAGGGAGAACAAGACAGTCCAAACCGCTAAAACGGTAATAAAATATCTATCCCCATCCGTAGTATGGGGCAGTTTCCTTATCTGGAGCCCTGGCACGGGCGGGCAGAGGAGAGGTGGGACTCTTCATTGTCCCGACTGAGCTGGATTCGGAACCCGCAAGGTGTTGCAATGGCCTACGAAAGCATCAGGCAGGCAGATCCGACAGGACAGGGAGGGGGAAAGGCCTTCCGGCTGGGCCGCGATCCATGACCATGGCCTCCTTCCCTCCCTTGCCCTCATTACTGGCTCTCGTTTGCTGTTCGGCTGGGCCTGTCGAGTAATAAATTCCCCCGTGGGTGGGACCCGATCGGGAAACAACCTGAATCTTTTACCCGCGAAGGCGGGGCGGGATTTGGAATGTTGGGTCTTTGATTTCTGCAGCCAGGGGGCGGCTGCCTCCCAATGGGGAAAGTCGACACTCGACGAGACTGCCGCCGACCGAGCCCTCGTCTTTGGGCTGTTCGAGGTCTCTCTATATTGCCCACTCTCCACGCGCTGGCGAGAATGAGGACTTGCGACCATAACACAACTCAAACACGAATGGAAACAAGGACGCTCGCCGCCGCTGTCGAGGGGTGACGCAGGTCACCGAGCACGGCCGGCAGGGAGCAAAGACAAAAGTGAAGGGGGGCGTCGCATTCTGTTATTTAGCGACGGGCCTAGCTGTGGCTCGTCTGGGCCTGTAATTGTTTCCGATCAAGTACAAACTGACGCAGGGAGCGCGCTGGTGTCTTTGTTTACTTTCTTTTCTTTTCTTTTCCCTGTCCGACTCAGGGTTGGCAGCGTCGCATTGCATCTGTCTAGGCGTTTGATATCCGCTGGGCTCGGGCGGGCGTGTGTCTGCGAGTATGTGCCCGCGCGTCTATTCCGTTTTGTGGAATTAGCCGGTTGGAAAAGAAATAGGTGGCTGCTGGTTGGTTGGATTGGGTCCTGCACACCGTAATACACCGTGCAACAAAGGAAAAAAAAAAAAAAAAAAACATCGACCGACCTCCGCAGTAGCACTACGCGTGGAGCAGCTGGGACCCGTATCCGCGTCGCCTGTGGTCCGGACTCGCCTGCATCGATCCATCCTCCCTCCCCGTTTGGCGCCGGCCGATGGATACCGACATACTAACGCGTTCGGAGGTATATTACCTCGCACCTGGGTTTTCGAGGTGGTGTTGCAGTGCCAAGGGCGACCGCCGCCCGCCGGCACCGCCAACATCTCGGGACGACACAATAGGGAAGGCCCACGGGCTGCGTCGCACTGGGTGTGGCAGCATCTCTCCATTCTGTCACGGATCCACAACATGACCGTCGACGAACTGGTCAGAGCGAGTTGTGCTCCACCACGGAATGGAGGGGGGGAAGAAGGAAAGGGAGAGAAATAAAAAAAAAGTCCGACAAAAAACGGACGGGAAAAAAGGACAAAGAAAACAAAGTTGGGAAACGAGATTTAAAAAAAAACAGGGTGGGCGGTGCACAATATTCCACGTTACATCCGACCGGGGAACGCACCGAAATGCCCGTGGAAACAGCAAAACAGAAACCTCATGCACCTACCACTGGACACCGCCATAGGGCTGGCTGGGCGGCCCATCGCGGAGTGGGAAGAGGACGGCAAAAACTTCCACAATTAGTGTTCTCTCTCCCCCGTTTGTTTTTTCTTCTCCAAGCTCTCCTTCACTGTCTAATAATAAGCGGGGGCTAACCAAAAGATGGAATCGGACCAAGCCAAAGCAAGTCTGGCCCCCGCGGGCCACGCACACCTTGGCGCTTAGATTCCCATCGAGCCATCCATTCCAGCCCGGCATCTTCCCCCGATCTGGACACGAGAGGGGGGAACGACGCAGGTGCGTCACCCGCGTCACCACCACCCGGAGCATTTACCCTCCCAGCTGTGGGTAGGTAATCTGATTATCGGCATCTATCTGTCTCTTTTTTCTCCGTCGTACGTAAAACGGCCCACTGACAGGACCGGCTGGGTTGCCTGTTCCAGTCTGGCTTTCTTTTTTCGGGGAGGCTGGCGTCCAAACAAGAGGCGTGTGGATAAGAAAGCGGGGGTGGGTGGTCTCTGGTTGTGTGCGTGTGAGTGAGCGGAATCTATGGTGATTGATGATTGAATGGGTCGGGTGAAGCGGCCGTGGCCTGCCTGTGGGTCATTGGAAGCAAGGTGGAGGGTAGGTCGGGGTTCCTGGAGGGGCGTGTGAGTTTTTTCTTTTCCTTTCCCTCCCTACTCTCTGGATGGGTTTATCTTCCTTGGGGCGCCGGTGTAGGTGCCAAGTTGCTCGTTCAAATGGAAATGACTGGACTGCCTCAAACTGGATGGCGCGAACGGCTGGACAGGGGTGGTCCCCCTGCCCGAGGTGCCGTAGCGTCGTTTCAAGTTTCTGCTGGGGGAGGGAGGGCGAAGAGAGGAAAGAAATCGCGGATGCTATTTCCGTCGGGCGGGACGCGCTTGTGTGTGGCTGGTGCGTGCACATACATACCCTGGGCTGGCGGTTGGCGAGGCGCCGGGCGGCAGCAGGCAAGGCTCGACAAGAAGAACCGACTGGGCATGCTGCTGCTGCTGCTGCTGCTGCCTGCACTGGCTGCAACCTGGGCGGAGGGTTCCATTTGCAAAGTGGATTCTTTCTCGTGGTGGGTGGATGGTGGGATGTCTTGGAGGTAAGGTCGTATCGAAACGGCGTAGGCAGAATGGAGGGGAGGGAAAGAAGACAGAAAAGCACCACGCACACACAAGCCCGTCGACATGGATTGGCCGTCTGCGTCTCTCTTGTCTCAACCCGTCCGTCATGTCTTGCTGCAAAAAAAAGGGGCCTTGCCCGCTGCAGGTCTGAAGTGGCTCGACCGTTTTGTCTGGGCGGGCATTTCATGGCATGGCATGGCATGGGGATGGCACGGACGGGAAAATCAGGTGGCAGGGCGCCGCAAAGGTCTAGGCAAAACCCAGCCTCTTGGCTGTTGCACATGGCTTGTTTAGAGTTTGTCCTCTGCCGCGTGGTGCTTTGCAGATGTGCGTGCCCGGACGCGCATGTGGTGGGTGTGTGTATTATACCTATTAGGTAGGTGTCTATCTCGGTTGGTTGCTGAGGTGTTGTTGTAAACATACATGCACAAGGGAGGGGGGGCCTGATAACAACCAAGTATAGCCTTCGACGCGGGACCGGGATTCCTGTCCCAGCCTTCTCGGCGCGCCAAGCCAGCCTGTCAAGTGGAGGGAGGCTACCTTCGGAGACATCGTGGCCCGATGCGAGATGATGGGGATGGCGACCTCGGCTGGTCCAATAGCTCCGCGGCATATATTTTTGTCAAGCGTCGCCTGGTCAGTTTGCTGATCGGGCCTGTTCCTGGAATCCAAGCCTAGGTGCTCGATGGGACATTGTTGTTTTTGCTTTTTCGTTGTTGTTTTTTTTTTTGTCTTTTTGCTTTTCTGCCCCTCCTCTCTTATTCCTGCCAAAATGCGCTGTCACCCACGATCCTCGACGCCATTTCACGCCTTTGACCAGCCTCGTAGGTCTAGCCTCGCGAGCCTGAAGCGCAAGCGAAAGGGATGGCTGATGGCGCCACTCCACCTAACCTCATCGTCCTCTCGACCGACGTTTTTTTCCCCTCAACTCACCTCCTCCATTGTGATGGTTTGTGGGCCTCCCCTGTGTTAATCTCCGATCACGATCCTACCCCCGCCCACACCGATGAGGGGCAATCAAGATGTGTGTGTGTGTGGTGCGGGAACGACAAACACTACCGGCGGCCCTATTCTGCCCGACGCGACCTGTTCCCCATAATGCGGTACAATGGCAAACACCAGATAGGACCCGTTCCACATGACCTACACAGTTGTGGAACTTCTAAGGAAAGATAAGATCCCCCATTTAAAGAAAAACAAAACGAAACAAACAAGTCCACATCTCATTGTTAATCCCCCATGGTCCCATCGGCTCTGCCCGTAAAGCCAAGGAGCGCTCCATGGACCAAGGGCGCGCCACGGTCTCATATCCCGGGCGTGATATCACCAAGGGGTTTTGGCGTCCATGGGTTTACCATGGTAACGGCGCGCCGGGCTTTCCATCGTGCGTGCCTATCGGTTGTGGGCGCCAGTCGCGTTGTTTGTCCCAGCCCAGCACCGGGTACCAAACCCCAGCCACACACACGCGCTACCTATAGGTTTGTGGTAGCACGGACCCATGCAGAAGCAAGAGAAGAAGAAACAAGAGACCAGCTCCGGAACGAGCGAATCATATCAATTTACCCAGGTTTTTTTCTCTTTGGCGGGCAAAACCTGCCGGCAACCAAACACAAAAGCAGAAACTTACATGGCTACCCAGCACTAAGCAACAAGCAGTACTAGTTAAAGCCGCCCGACTTACCAATGCCATGCCTCCCCCCTGCCTCCCCCCTGCCTCGCTTCACCCTATGGCGTGGCTAAATTATCCCACAAGCGTGCCGGGCATACTAGTACAATGCCTCACTTTGCCTTTTGTGTTCGTGGGACAATTTTTTGCCAACTTGTTGCATAGCAGCCAGGCAAACACGTGAGAGTGATGCGCGATGATGACAGCGGGTGATACAAATCACGGTTCGAATTCCCGCCGCCAAAGACATCGCTCGTTGTTTAGACATGCGGCGTGGTTGGGGTCCCTTTGTCGCCCTAGGTAGTAGGTATCGACAGCCGGCGACACCCAAACAAACACCAACACACGCGCACACACATGTGCGCTGACAGGTGGACGGCACACCTCGTGTTGCCAGACACGAAAGCAAACCGGGCCTGAACAGGAAAGGTCGCGGGTTGCCGTGACCGGCCGTCCATCAAACCGCAAGTGCCTCCCGTCCTGGGTGGCAGCGGTCCATTGAAGTGTAAAAGGTAGTAGGCAGGTAGTATCCTGCATGAAACGGGCGTTCGGACCGCGAGCCCGAATTATGCACGTCGCCCGAGCGAGCATAGCATGATAAAAATACGATTGCAAGTAAATAAGATAAAAAACAATAAAAAGGACCAAAAGATCGACAACGACGCGATTCGAACGCGCGCGCCCGAAGGCATTGGCTTTGTTACTCCTGGAAATAGCAGGCCAACGGATTAACCACTCTCCCACGTTGTCTGTGGAAGTTGTCCGAGTCAGGCGGGCTTGGGTGCTTATCAGCCCAGACTGGGCCCTCTCCCATGCAAGGGTATGACAACACCTATCCACAGCAGCCCGACTGTCACACCCAACATCGTGTAGAGGTCTCTCACCAAGGATGGATTGCCCGAGAAAGCGATCGGTGTAAGGTGCGTTACGGTTCGTCACCTGGTTGGTGCCTTGCCAAAAGAGGGAGAAGAAGAGAGACACAGAAGGCATCATTATTAAATGGGAGTATCGATAAAGTTCGAGTTTCCGACTAGCATATAAAACCAAAGTCCTTATGCAGGACTCATGTCACCAAACTGGGTGTCGTGGGGGGTATTTGCTGGTGCCGTACCTGACAACCAGTGTGCGCCTCTTTTCCTCTTTTCTGTCCTGACCATCACGTGGAGCAAACAAACAAACCAAGTAAAAAGCAGCGTAAGGAGTGACAAACGCATGTGAGAAGAGCCAAAGGGGCAGGGGAGACGCTCATCTCTCCCGGAATATCAATAAAAAAAACCCTAAAAACCAAAAGACCTTCCCGACGCTCATTTAAAAAAAGGAAAAGGCTAACCGTCGACCAGAGCGCCTTGCCAGAAATTCGTACATTAAAGATGGTAAAAAAAATAAAAAAGAGAAGAGCAGAGAAAGTAGGAGTGGTTCATGTGAACGAAGCAACGATTGGTGGAATAGCAAGAGCAAGCCCTTAGGTTGTGAGCAGGCGACGAGCTGATTTGGGCGACAAGACGACATCCTAAGCCTTCTTCTTTCCCTGACGGTGCCTCCACTCAGCCCTTGTGATTTTCATCAAGAGCTCCTCGTCCTTGATGGGAACCCAAGATGTCAAAGCCTTCATGGCATTCTCAAAGTCTGAGTCTAGGAGAACTTCGGCCAGGGCGTGTATCAATGCAGCTGCCGCAGCATGGAGGATGTCCAGGTTCATTGGCGCCTCGCCAGATTCTGCGCCCGTGTTCGGCGGCGATGGCTCCCCAAGGAGCATAAAGACGTCCCACACCCGTAGTTGGGCCGGAAACGGAACCGAGAGGTTGAATAGGGTGAGATACCAGCGGGTGGCATAAGCTGTTGGGTCGATGCACAGCTCGGTCTATAATGTGAAAGCTGTCAGATTTGGTGCTGTAGATTTGGCAAAACGAGCAAGGGAGGTTACATACCAGCTTATGAGCGACCTCCTTGTCCCTGAGCCAGTCCGTCTCAAAGTCCTTCAGCGCCGTCATCAGGCTACCGAAGCCTGGCTCGTAGAGCCTCTCGAGTCCTCTGAACCTCCACATAAGTACCAGCATGATAAACGCCTTCTCCTCGTCGTAGTAACACAGCATAGTGGCAGCCAGCGAGGCCATACCCTGGACGTAGCCGGTTTCTGGGAAGTGGAGCGATAGCGCGTGCAGGACCCTGAACAGAAGGCGCTGGCCCCCGCGATAGCGCCGACGAAACATGATGTGACGGTTAATCGTTCGTGGGACGTCGAGATCGATCTGCGTGTCGTCGGCCGAGCTGACATCCTGCAGGCGCTGGAACTCGGCCGTCAGCTGCTCGTCTGTGGTGTCTGAGCCGTGCTGTCTGGCGCTTGCGGTGAGGAACGAGTACCAGGCCACGGCGCGCCAGCAGTCGGGGATGCCTTTCCAGGTGCGATCGATCACCTTGGCGTTCTTTGGGTCAAAGTGGAACTCCATGCCCTGCCCCGACGACTGGCCCCTTTGGCTGACTTTGGCCATTTTTCTCCACTTCTCGGTCCTCTCCCATTCCTTCCTCTTGAAGGTCTCTGAGATCTTCTCCACCTGTTCGTCCTCGACAATGTCAGATAGACCAGGTGCCATCGTCAGCATGGCCCCGGCCTCGTCCATCAGTCTCCTATCCCGGTTGTGCGGGAGCAGGTTGGCCGCGGCCCTGACCGAGGAGCGGCCTGACCGCCTCGACGTGGTGGAAAACTCCGAGGCCTGTGTGTTCAAGGAGCGTGCCGAGACTTTTCGGGTCGGGCCACGGCCCGGGGACAAGGTCGAGCCATGGACGGCGGGGTCCATCCTCTTAACTAGCACATTCCTCTTCCTGGGCGTCGACCTCTGGGGTTGGGGCGCGGCGCCCTCTCCTCTGGACTCGGTTCTCCTCGGGTTTGAAGAGATGAAACCGAAGCGGTCGACATCGGCGCCATCGACGTCCTCCCAGTCCTCTATGCCACCTGCCAGCTCAAACTCCCTCTTAGTGAGGTTATCTCGTGGCGGCGACGACGAGCTGGTTGGCCGCGACGTATCTGCTAAATGGCGATTTGGGGACAGGCTGTCGCCTGCGGGGGAACGGGACCTGCGTAAGAGCACGAGCGAATCGTGTCAATAGCGATTGGCGCGGGCGCGTAGGAGAGGGTCTTGTGCTCGGGTTGACTAGGAAACCATACGCGGCATTCACTTCCCCGTCCGATGGGACCTCCGCTGCAGGCTCGGGGTGGTCTCCAAACGACAAGCCCGGCCCCCCATCGACCAACCCGCCATCCTCCTCGTCGGGCCCATAGAGCGATCTCACCTTTTGGGATTCTCTCTCCATGTCGACGGCCAAGATTCGGATGTTGGGAGTTTCCAGCATCTTGGATGTAGGAGCGGGGGGCGACCTCTGGGTTGAGCCGCCGGCGGTCGGGTTGGTGCGGGAGGACGATGGGGTCGGCGGGGCCGCGCCGGTAACGGTCTCAGGCGAGGGTGGCGCGACCGCGACCACGATGGCGGCCGAGGTGGTCGTGGTGCCGGGTGAGGCAGGCTCCATGGCGCGAGGCGGCGTGGATTTAGTAGGAGTTTTCGGTGGCTTCCCCACGGCACGCTTCCCACCAAACATGACACTACCCCGATGGGAGAAGGTTAATTGGGTGAGGAAGTCATCCTCCAGGAGGCTATCTGTCGGGATGTCGGTGGTGATGGGAAGAAATTCAGAAGCGTCAGATTGGGCGTGGGAATGCGACGGCGACGGCGGGCAGGGATCTTCATTAGCCCCGCCCCCAAGGCCTAGCAGCTGCCCTTTTTGGGACATGGCGGGCGAGGAGGAGCCCCGCGATTGGGGCGACAGGGGTGCAGGATCGCCCCCAGTCGAGGGGGATGACAGCGGGTTCTCGGCTGCAGGTGGTGCGACGTCCATCTCGTCCATGTCCTTGGACAGGCTCTTCTTCTTCAACCGGTTCGACTGACGGCCAGGCGCGGGCCGCAGACTAAAGGCTCTCGCCATCTTCCTGCTGGCCGCACGGGTCAGACTTACTGGCGGATTGCTGATGGGCGACGACGAGCCCGAGGCAAGGCGCGGGGAGGTTGGGATTGGGGCGGCCCTGGGGCTTTCAAACAGGGCATGGGTTGGAATGTCGGTCGAGAGGGCGCGGCGCGCACCGGCGGCGGCGCCAGAGGCCACCGTCTCGTGGCTGGTACGAGTGGTAAAACCGGTGGCGTCGCCAAGGATGGACACGGCGGGCTCCCGGACCTTGTGTCTGGGAAAAAAGACCGGGTCGTCCTCGCACTCCTCGCGGATGGTCGAGGTCGGGGTTGCAGGGGCGAGCACCGAGTCGCGCTTCCCGTCGTCGGCGACTGACGAGGGCCGGGCGTCGTGGCGGGTGCGGAAGGCCGGGTGCTGCTCGTTTGGCGAGATGGGCGGGGGTGCCACAATGACGGTGGTTCCCGACGCAACGGAGATGGGGCGGGTGGTGGTCCTGGCCGGATTCCGGGGAGGGACGGGGATGACGGGGATGGGCGGCTTCGCCTGGACGGTCTGCTCGTAGCGGAAGGCGACGAGAGAGGTGTCGTCGCGGAAGGGGGCAATGCGCGCGGCGGGCTTGTTCTTGTACCGCAGGCTCGCGCTGGCCAGCTTGTGTGGCGCCATGACCGCGTGCGTGCAGTCGGCAGGCGGCGCAGGACTCACTCTGAGTGACCGTCGACTGGGCGGCCGTGCGGAGGCTAGCGGGAGCTGACGAGGACGAAAGAGTGCAGACTGCAGCAGCGTACGCACAAGGAGCGGCCAACTGGCGGGTTTGCGCCCGGCCGCCTGGGGCACAGTGGTCAGGCCCGAGGTGCGCTTCTCTAGCGTACGTAGTGATCTGGCGAAGAATGGATGATTGTCGCTGGCAGCGGCACAGGCAGATCTCAAAAAGACAGACTGGCAGGCAGCACGGAGAAACAAGTCCGGGGCCTCGACCTGGTGAAACAAAGCACAAGGCGTGTCCCGGAGCGGCAGGCACTGGAGCAGGGAAATAGCGACACGCCCTTTGGCGGCGACGGAAGTGCTGGTTGGGGATTCGAGGCTGTTGTAGCCTGGTTGAAGCTCGTTTTGCTGTGGGTGTGGCTATTTCTGTCCGCGGCTTGGCGGTGCGTGTCGATTGGGCCCAGGGAGGGCGGCAGGAAACAAATAAACAAATAAACAGATGGTGAATAAGGACGGGGAGGCAAATTATCGGCCGTTGGCGTCTGGCCAGGTGGCTCAACCTGGGAATCTAGGGATGGGCTCACACAGAGTTCGCAGTGGGATGGAGGTGCGGCTTAGACAATCAAATAACCGAATATTGCGTCGACAAACTATCGCGCGTCTAGAAGCGGGCCGGGGTGGAATGTGACTTTGTGGTGACTTTGGTCTGGGAATGCAGTTGGATGGATACAGGATGGATACAGACAGAGAGGTGGTGCCTTCCCTCTATTATTTCTTATTCTTTCTCGGCCCGGCCACCTACTGCCAGCATGCGGAGGCACGGCTCCATCCCCCGCGCCTCCCCGTCTCGGCCTGTGTGGTGTTTTGCACCTGCCACCGACGCAGGGCCTGCTTGGCCCATGCCCTCAATGACGGCCACCCGTCTCCGTCGCCATGGGCCACTGGCCGTTGGGCTGCTGGGATGGCCGGCGGTCCCATGGCCGTGGATGGGCCTGCCAACCACGTCGCAGGGTGCCATCAGCCATTGAATTCCGATTTCCCGCACAGGCCAGTAGGAGCCTGCCACAGCGCCACCCTGCACAGGTATCGCGAAGGCTCCTGCTTTCACCGGTTCAGCCTCTGCTGCCCCTACCGCTCCCACCGTCGGGCCCACTTGGTGGGAAAAGGGCAACGAACATGGGGGCACTTCAGGTGAGCCTAAACTACTTGCAGGGCCAATGCACCCAATGCCGGGAAACGGGGGCCCATGTGCCTCGGAAGCGGGACGAGGGAAATAAAGAAGGCCCCCCTAAAAGGCTGGGATTGGCATGGAGACGGAGAGGCGAGGCCTTGCCTGGTGGCTGACAACGAGTGTCGAAGCCGGGGCTCTTGCGATTGGCTAGCGCGATAAAGGTCAATGTCAAAAGCTACAGAAGGCCACCATCACCGTCGATCCCCAAGGCCCCGAGCACGAGAGCTTCCACTTGCACACACACGGACACACACTCGCTCTCTTTTCCACACTAGTAGTACAGTAGAACATGCACCCCAAAGCGGTGTAAATGATGCGTGGAATCAAGGTCACCGCCTGTTCCCGCCAATCGGCCGGCGCCGGGAGCAGTGGTCGCCCATAAATGGGCATCCGTCCCCCCTCGCGGGAAGGTGGGACTAGGGTCGAACAGTTCGGCATGGGAACCTGGGCTGTTTCTTGGGATGTGGTCATGGGAAACAAACCGTGCAGTTTCGAGGGACCCTGCCTCCGCGATCTGCAGAACAAAGACGACGGGCGCCTCCTCCGTGGGCCGAAACCGGCTTAGATCACAGCGTGCCCGTTCTCCTCCAGCTCGAGGACCCCCATTTGCAACTCCACCCTGCCCGGACGCGTGCTCGGTTTTCTTTGTCTCTTTCCTGGGTCCAAAAGGTTTGCAGCCAAATACCAAACACGGCCAAAGCTTCCGGGTGGGGGACGGCACAGTGGATGTGTTCTAATTGGCGCGTCCTGACGTGGCAATTTAGCCACATCACCCGGACCTCCGTTTCTTGGCTCCACCCGCCGAACCGCATTCCGTTCCGGATTGGGCTTCAGGCATGAAAGGCGAGGGAAGGCGGGAACAAGAGGTAAAAAAGGTGACAAGACAAGACTCAAGTACAGTACAAAAGAGGTCATACACAAGAAATATAGTCAGACCCTCGTGCTCATTTTCTCTAGTTATCCGAGGTTCGTCGTTCCGCGCTCCACAGCAGCAAACACGTGCCAGCAGACCCGTGCCAGTGGATGTATCCAGCCAGCCTCAGTCTAGACCCCCCTGGCCCTGGCCTGGTTGTCCATTCCATCCACAACGCCCGGCACGCAAGGCCACATGTCAACGAGGCTAACATGATTGGCTTTGTGCCTGGGCTAGGTCTACGCCAGCGCACGACGCCGCCGCGCCGCCGAGGTGCTTGCAACAGAGCCAAAGAAACACGACGAGGCTACGCCGTCCAAGCAAGCCACATCACACCACACCAAACTTGGTAGGCACCTTGGATCCAATACGGCTCTCGCGCCTCTCTCCTCCTCAAGGTCCCATACCAAAGTTGGTCGGGCCTCGGTTGGTCGGTCGGTCCCCAGGCATGTCCCGAATGGCACCTCGGCCCTCGCGCTAAGGTTGTTCCTGCGTTGAGCAGTCACATCACACACCACACATCACACGCACACATCACATCCTCCTGTCGCCCCACCGCCGCTCGCCTCATCCGACGCCGCGGCGGGATCCTGCAGCGGGTGCATGCAAGCAAATGGGAAGGTCCCCCCTTGGTAGCATTCAGACAACGGTAGGTAACAATAGCAGCCCGACCCAGACAGGTTGTGAGCAACCGTAGTTTGTTCCAGAGCGGTTGGGCGAAACGGCAACCGTTTTCGTGGGCGCTGATTCGTCGCCCCTTCTTCCCAAACCTGCTCGGTTGCATGTGTGTGTGAGCTACCACGACGACCGTTGGCGGCAGGTGAGCTCGGATTTTCCTTGGTCCTCCCGCCTTTTCGTGTCTTGTCATTGGGACGAGTCACAAGCTTGTAATAAGAAGAAGAAGCAAAAAAAAAAAAAAAAAAAACTATAAAAAAAACTCTAAAAAACTGGACGTGTGCCACGGTGGTTCAACCCGATACCACTGTAACCACACACACACGTCACCTCAAAAACACGGGTGCGAACAGTCTGGGTAGCCCGAGTAGCAAACAAAAAGAAACCGAACCCGTTCGACATGACCATCCAGCTTACCAGGTTATCTCGCGTGTATTGTATGCAGGTTCCCACGCCGGAATCTGCTCAACCGTGGCGGCCATCATCCCATCCCCATCGCCCCTTGCAGCTCGCATATGCGCGCCGCTAGCCAACGCTACTGTACCACATCGCCCGTGGCTTACTGGCTCCCTAGGATGATGCTCATCTTACCTGCATGTGTTGACGTGTATTAAATTGATAACTTTGGGACAACGGTGGAATGATGCGTGGGATGATGCAAGACAAAGAAAAAAAGAAAAAATTACACCGAATATTGGAAAAAAAAAAAAGGTTAAGCAAAAATCTAGTAGTCAACACAAATGGATGTCTTTCGCCCCCAATCGAGATGACACGATGCCAAGGAAATCCTTAAGGTTTATCTATGGGCAAACTAGGCAGAAACGCCCACAGATGCCAGCCGCCCCTGATGCAATCAGAGAAGGTCCTGTCTTCTTTCCTTCCCTCTTTGTCCCCGCCTGTATTCACACACATCAAACACAAAAGCGCCCTTCATTTCTACACCTCCTCGTTCTCCCAATCCTTCTCCACAAACATGGGCCGCTTACCCCCTTGGCTGAGCTCGAGTTTGGCCAGGAACTCGGGCGGAACCGTGGGGATGTACTTCCTTTCCCGCTCCCTGTTGACCCCGCCGAACCCAGCCCCATACGTGACCAGCATGTCCGTCACCGAGGGTAGCGAGAACGGCAGCATGACGGCCGGGTCCAACAGCAGGTGCGCGGGTGCGTCCTCTTCATCCAACTCATCCTCTCCGTCTGGAGACCCATGCGCCATGCTCCCGGGAGTCTCCCCTCCTTTTCCGCCTGCTCTCGTCCCGCTCTTTGGTGGCGACCCGGGCGGAACATCGACGGGCTTTAGTTGCTGCGATAGCCTGTCCCGCTGTCTCTCGCGGCGGAGGGTCGCCTCCTTTTGGATCGCGTTCAGGTACTCGAGCGCGCTCTTGGGGAGACCTTTCTCGCCAACCTCTGGGTGGTAGTGGTTTGCCGCGTGAATGAGCTGCTGTGGGCTGAGTGACCGAAGCTGTTGGAGCGTGCCCACGAGCGCCTCGAGGTCGTCCTGGACCAGCGATGAGAAGCACTGTAGCCACTGGAGCAGCTGGATCACGGGGCCAAGGTGTCTGCGCGACGCATCGGCCGTGCTTTCGCCGCTCGACTTTGTCTCGCCGTGCTCGTAATGGTCCGGGGTCCGGTTGTTGGTCCGCGCCCAGTCCTCCAGCACCGATATGTTCATGCGGATCTGCATCGCCTTTGTCCGCGCCAGGTACTTGCGGTTTGACATGATGCGGTTGAAGAGCTCGGCTCCCAACCAGTAGAGCAGCTGTGACACGATCTGGCACGTGATGACCGAGTGTATGTCATAGAGATCCAGCACAAACAGAGTGGATGAAAGCAACGATGTCACGTTCCGCGGCGCCGGCTTGGCTCTCTGCTTTGGCGAGGGCGGGCGGTACCGCCTCTCGGGGGGCTCCTCCTTGACCTCCTTTTTCCGCTTGAAAAGCTTCCATTCGTTTTGGAATGCGATGTTCTCGAACCCAGGGATTGTCTCGTGGTCTAACATGGCCGGGTCCAGGACCTTGTCCAGCCGTCTTTCGGCGTCTCGCACAATCAGGATAAAAATCTCGTTAATAAGTTCAGCCAGCTGCGCTTGGAACTCGGACGTGGCCTCGAGCAGGCCGCCGTCTTTTCTCAGGTAGTGGAGCAGCAGCGTCGCGTTGGATATCCAAAAGGCCAATATGGTCATGTCCCACTGGTGGTCTTCCACAACGTCGTTGATCTTATCCATGGCCGTGATGAGCAGCTTCGCAAGTAGCTCCGGGCTCGAGTGGTAGTGCGCATACCTTGCACTCAGGAAAATCATGTTTGCGGGGACTGGCTTTTGTGACGGTGTCCGCTGCGGCGTCATGTTGGTGATTATGATGTCGAGTATGCGATCGAGCTCACTCTCCTGGAAGACGAACATCTGGTCGTGGTTGCACCTCTGCCAGTCGAACTCGGTCTGATCCTCCTCGAACTCGTCCATGGGCTAGACAAGGTGAACGGTTAGCAGCCAATCAAACCAGGCAACATTGTGTCCTCTTTTTTTTTTCCCCCGTTGTATAGGATAGGCAGGCCTGACGGATAGGGGGGCCGCATACCTCGGGCTGGTCGTCCATTCCCACATTCCCTAGGTCCACCTCGAGATCGCGTGCGCTCTCCATCATCATTCTCCTCCTGAGCTCGTTCTCGGCCATCTCCTCCTCGAAGCGGTCCTGGGACATGCCGGGGCTGTAAAAGTCATCTGTCACGCCCGCGTTGCCGATGTTATAGCCGCTGTCGTGCAGATAGAAGGACATGTCGCTATCGGGGGCGACAAAGTCGAAGGGCGTGCGTCCAGATGACGTCTTGGCCTCGGGCGATGCGCCGCTGTCCAGGAGCAGCTTCGCAATGGCCTTGTGGCAGTTGGTCATGGCCCACGTCAGGGCGCTCCAATGGTTACGATCCTGCTTTTCCACATCGGCTCCGGCATCGATGAGGGCTTTGACAACGGTTTCGTGCCCCTATTCCGATTTTTTTGATTTTTTTTGTTTATCAGCAAGTTGTAACGCGAAATCTCCATCATCATCCGGGTTCATCTAGCTTACAAAACAGCTTGCGTATATTAAAGCCGGCGTGCCGTCCTCGTCAGGGGTGTTGACGTCGACGTATTGCTTCGGCTTGCCGGCAAGGAGCCTCTTTACTAGGTCCACGTGTCCGTTGCTCGCGGCCATGGCCAGCGCCTTCTGCAGCATCGACTTCTTTTCGTCGTCAGACAGCTTGCTGTCGTTGGCCAGGCCTTCCACATCGTCGATGCCGCTTGTGGCGGAGTGGGCGGCCTGGGCAGCTATCATCTCCATCAGCCTCGTGTCGCTATCGGTGATGCCCTTGGTGATATCATCGTCGTAGGCGGAGTCGTTGAGCGACAGGTTGCCGAAGTTCAAGGGTTTGGCAGCCATCGGGGAGATTAGGAACTGCGACTGGCCTGCTCGCAGTGCGACGAGGCGTGTCCGGGTCAGCTTCAAATTCCACTGGTGGGCAGGAACGAGGGGCTCCGAGGGGCGGCCGGGTGGCGCGCAGGTACGGCGAACTGACCTTGCCAGCCATCGTACATTTCTGTTTCGGGGACGAGTTCGGTCGGGCGTCGCCTGTCGTCGAGGGACTTGGGCAGATCGGCCGGGAGGGCCCGTGACTTCTGGTCGCCGAAGCCGCCCTCGTCGACCCCGCCACTAGAAGCGCCTAGATCCATGGCGTGGGCAGCAGGGCGACATAGGGAAAAGGCTCTTTTTTGACGGGGCACTCGGCGTTGGGCGGCGCCGTCGTGGGCGGTGGGAGGGCGAGGCGCGCTGGACAGCAAAGGTAGCGCGATTGGGGTTGGGATGATGTCACTATCGCGGGCGGCTGCAACGAGGAATTTGGCTGGTGGCGGCCTAGGTACGGCGTGGGAGGTTCGGTGTGCGTGTCGGGGCCTTCTTGTCGTTGATGGGCACTGCCTTGCCCAACCGGGATCCAGCCATCAACCATCAACGGGCGTGCAGGCTCGGGCGGTGCCACAGCACAGGGGCTTCTGGCCCCAGCGGAGGTGCCCCACCAACCAGCTGAACTGCCTTGCTACATCCACTGCACTTGGTGCTTTGATTGTTGAGCACACTGACTCTTGCTAAATCGGGACAACAGCCTAGATACTCTCCCGTGCGAGCCCCGCGATTTACTAGGGTCTTGGCCATGGTGAGTGCATACAAAATTTTTGCGTGATAAAGAAGAGTGCTTCCTTTACTTGATAATCGTATGGATTGCGGAAGAGCACCCTTTACAGTATGATCGCCAGGCTTCCCAGGACTGTCATGCTCGATCTGACAACGAGGGGTGTGTGTCTTCTTGGCTCTCGTCGGTCGCAGTATGCACCTCGGAACTCCGTTTAGTGGCCTTGTTCCAGGTCCCAAACAAGGACCGAGGGGAGGTGGGCGTGCCATTGCTCCAGCGGAATAAAACAAAGAGTCGATCTTGGCATTTGACGCTTCGCAGAGCTGGAAGGAGGCCAACGCCTCGGAAATCTTTGGAGAAGCCACTCGGTCCAGGCTTTCCTACATGTTGGTTGGTCCGCTGTCAGAGCGGTGGCCCTTGACTTCAAGATCGAAAGGAGTCCTTGAAGGGCTTTGTTTGTGAAGGCCGCTATTGTCGATTAGTTGCCTGAACAGATTGCATATTTCAGTGTTTGCTTCTTGTCTACTCCTATTCCTTGCGTCTCTTTTTGTTCTTGGTAGTGATCCGAGAACTTCCGCTCCTGTGTTTCCCACCTCATTCTGTTTTCGGATGCGTCATGCAGATATTAGTTACGTTGGTTGTTTGTCGAGACTGGCCCCTATTTATTACTCCTGTGGCAGAGTCGAACAGAAATGCAGTTTGTGCTGAGCGCCGTGAGACAGAAATCGAGTGTCTGCGGGACCTCTTGTTCGAATTATCAATCCTCAACCCTCCCTATTCTGTGTGTATAACGCTCAGAGGACCTCGACAGATGGCTATGAAGCCCATACCATCACTGAAAACCAGCAACTGCAGCTTCTCCTCGCCGGACGGATGTGCTGAGCGACCTCGAAAGCATGAGAAACAACCTGAAAGGACAAAGCAGCCGACCTGGCAACGAGCTGATTTGAGGGTCAAACAGTTCCCCACCTTGCTAAATGAACGCCAAAAACTAAGACTTGGGACAAACGAGGAGAGAGATAGGACGGTGAGCGATGCCGAGAGGACTGGGTAAAAAAAAACAAGAAAAACAGCACTGCATGCGGGCGAGCCTTCGTCACCGCTTGGGATACTGTAAGATCCCGGGCACGCCGAAACAGGGCCAGGCTCCGAAGGCCTGCCAATCGGAATTTTGGTAGGGTTACCGCGCCTCAACGTCGGATTCCGAGTTTCTGCACATGGATGCGCGGGTAGACGCCGATGACGATCAGAACCACGGAGAGGATGACGGCCCACAGCTTGATGCCGAGGACGTTGTGGTTGTAGGTCGTGTCGGTCGCGGTGACGACGGTGGCAAGGATCAGGGGAAAGACGAGGTAGCCGCCCCAGCGGTGGTACTTCCACAGGGCCTTGGCCTTGTCGACGCCGCCAAAGACGCCCGGGACGCCCCACATGAGGAAGCCGAAGGCGTACTGGGCCAGCATGAGAAAGGAGACGCCGACGCCGAGGTAGGCGTGCAGGGACTTGAAGTGGGGGTTGTTGCTCTTGAACTTGTTGGCCTCGATGACGGCGACGCCCGAGGCGAAGAGCAGGAAAGAGACGAGGTTCAGGGTCGCGTGGGCGCGGGCCCCGACCACCTTGGCCTTGGGGTCGAAGGTCGGCTGCAGCACCAGGATGGCCTGGGTCAGGGTGAAGACGCCGAGGCTCTGCAGCAGCGGGTGCGGCGAGAAGAGGGGCAGCAGCGGGTGGGTGAAGACGGCGGACCAGACCATGGCGGGCAGGAGAATTGCGCCGGCCAGGGCGAAGCCGCCGGTTCCTGAGACCAGCGATGACAGCATTAGAACGAGTTTCTTGGCTGATGTGGTGTGGGAAAATGAAAAGGCGCAGCGGCAAGTGAGGAAATGTCGGCGCTCTCAGCAGGATGAACCAAGCAGGTAGGCTATGGCAAAGCTAGAGCTGCAGTGCGCATTGCGTGCGAACTTATAAGAGAGGAGATTCACTTTTCCACCTCTTTTCTCCCGGGCCTCGCGCCTCTCGCCACCGTAAACATGCTACTTACCCCTATACAGGTTCGAGAAGAGGGGCTCATTAGGTTTCTGGAGGGCGGCACCAGGACGCCCGAGGAGAGGCTCAGACTCCCGGTTGGCGGCCGGGTCGGGGGCTGCGGGTGACGACATTGGCGGCCTGTGTCCAAGGTGTAATCGACTCGTGAGGGGTTTCCAGGAGCGCCGGGCAACCAAAGACACTGAAAAGTCTGGAAGAGAAGCAGAGGACCGGGCCTGGCTGGATCAGGCTGTTCAGTTGAAGTTATGGTGTGCTCGGACTTTCGGCGAAGGAGGTTGGGAAGGCTGAGGAAGGCCGGGGATCGACAATAGAGTTAGCTCGAGCCAGGGCCTGATAAGGACGTCGATCTCGAGCGAGCAGACGAGCAGAGATGAGGCTCCAAGTTGCGAGAGAATCGCCAAGGCACAACAACGATGCGCAAGCCAGCTATTTGTCTCGAGTCGATTGAAGTGAGAGGCCTGGGGATTTAAATCAAGCAGCCGGAGCTGTCCGTTGGTGAAGCCCGAAACGATCCTTGCTGAGCCCCAGGGCGCGATGACGGCATCCGCTCGCACAAGCGTCCATGCGGAGCTCTGGCCAATGAGAGCGTCCGGATTGCCAGGCAGGCAGACGCGCCGAGCACCCTCGCCATCACAGAGACGGGGTTCCCTGGGGTTGCCAAATGTTGGGATAATATGTTGCCCATGCAGCCATGTTATTTCCATGCGATGCGGGCAGGTGGCTGGCAAAGGGTCTGAGGATCTCGGTGAATTCTCGGGGGTAAGGGAGGACTGTAAGGACTGTATAGTGCAGGCTGGTTTATGTAAAATGGACGACAAGTCTTGATTAGATGGATGGGGTGCTTTCTTTTCGACCCAAGTCTTTTTGTCTGGCGATATCGGCCCGAGTGGGCACTTTGCCCAGCCCGGGGTCTGCCTGCGCTGTGTTCCGGCCGCCGGAGCTGGATCTGATGCGATTTGAGATTGGGAATTGAGAAGGTAGCACGACTCGCCCGACGGAGAACTCAACAGTGATGGCCCCTCTCTGAGCACCCTGAGTAACATCTCTGTCCCTGCCAAGAGACAGACACACCACATCTCCATGTCCACATCTCCATGTCAGCACCATCCTCTAGGTTGCCCCCAAACACTCACCAACCAGCCCTGATATAAACCACCGCCGACCGTCCATCATGGCCGAAGAAGCAACCTACAAGCTCGAGGACGTGCCCGCCACCCGGGTCGCCCCGGACCAGATCGACAAGGAGTTCCGGTCCACCACCATCGGTGCGCCCCCCTCTCTCTCTCTTGCTGACTTGCACAAAATCCCCCCCAAAAAAGACTACTAACCCCCTCCTAAAGACCTCATCTCGGCCGCAATGGGCGGCAAGGTCCTGGCCTTCTCAGACGAGTGGTTCGCCGAGGCGGCCAACCTCCTGACCCCGACCCCGCCCGTGCGCCAGCCCGGCAAGATGGTGTACACGGGCGCGTGGTACGACGGCTGGGAGACGCGCCGGCACAACCAGGCCGCCTTCGACTGGGTCGTCATCCGCCTGGGCGTGGCCTCGGGCACCGTCGAGGGCGTCGAGGTCGACACCGCCTTCTTCTCGGGCAACCACGCCCCCGCAGTCTCGGTCGAGGCCTGCTTCCGGCCCGAATCCGGAGCCGACGCCGAGGTGGCCTCCTGGGCCGGCACCCGCGGCGGCTGGGAGACGGTCCTGGGCCTGCAGGAGTGCGGGCCCAGCAGCCGCTTCGGCTGGCGGCTCGAAAGCCCGACGGGGAAAAAGTACACCCACGTGCGGCTCAACATGTACCCGGACGGCGGCATCGCGCGCTTCCGCCTCTTCGGCCGCGCCGCCCCCGTTTTCCCCGCCGACCCGGCCGCCGTCCTGGACCTGGCCGCGGCCCAGAACGGCGGCGTGGCCGTGTCGTGCAGCGACCAGCACTTTGGCACAAAGGACAACCTGCTCCTGCCCGGCCGCGGTAAGGACATGGGCGACGGCTGGGAGACGGCCAGGTCTAGGACCAAGGGCCACGTCGACTGGGCGGTCGTCAAGCTGGGCGCGCCGGCCGTCGTCCAGCAGGTCGTCGTCGACACCGCCTTCTT